TATATATATATATTATAAAAATCTGTAAGAGAGAATAAGGATTGATCAGTAGCTCGGTTGTGAAAATTTTCATCATGAGAATAAAAGTTCGCGACAATATGGTTGTGAGCGAAATGTATAATTACTCACAGGCTGCCACATGCCTATATCGCCCGTGTGATGCCATCCCTGGTCATCGATCACCTCGGCAGTCTTTTCGGGATCTTTGTAGTATCCTACGAAGATATTGGTGCCCTTGACACACACCTCACCCTGATTATTCACCGCATAATATTCCATTTCCGGAACATCGACGAGTTTGATGCAACAACAAGCCACCGGTGGTCCCACGTGTCCCGGCACGTGATCGCCCTGTATTTAGAGATGAAAAACACGTGAATTAAATCTGCGGATTGAATTTAAAAAAAAAATTATTTCTACCTTTCATAGAAAATCTATTAATTTATTCGCCAAAAATGAATCTATCAGCGAATACTTTTGCCAGCGCATGTGCTACAAATATGTATACTATAAGATATGTTACACATGTATAAACGAATGGATCGATGAATTTTACGATGGAATACGAGGTGCATTCAATAACGTAGCAGCTAATGGTCTTGTGATAGAGGTGGCGTGTCCTGGCACATGGCTCTAAAGCTTTGATTCGATGACAGAAATATCTGCGACCGCGCGCGCGCGGCTATACAGCTATGTCGATATCTCGCAGACGCGCCAAGAATAGAGAGGACACGTATCACTTGATTATTAGTCAGTATTCAATAAAAACATTTTTGAATGCTATCAATTTGTCAGCAATAAATATTCTCCTGCCGCGTTCTCTTTCTCTCTCTCTCTAGAGATCTTTTTTAAAATAAATTATCGATTACAAAGAAAAGGAAGGGGTGAACGAGTATCGAATTACAGTCAAAGTGTCTACAAAAGAATGTCGTGTGTACAGATATTTTACAATATTAACTTCTTGTAGTATGTCAAGAGATTATATAGTAAGAAGTTAGTATGTAACTGCGCATTTTCACAAACATGTAGTAAAGAACAAAATGACATTAATTTATGCCTAAGTGATTAGAATATTTATAAAACAACATTTCTTATTAATATACTTCTCAAAAGCAAATATTTCTCAAAAAGCATTTATGCGATGCTTATCTAAGCTTTTGCTTTTTGCGATTTTCTTCAAAACGAAGCAAAGACGAGCAAATCTCTAAAGGACTTTTTGTCTTAGTTTATCGGTCCCCTATACGCTCCTAAAGTTTTGACATTTAAATTGCGGACACCCTGTATAAGAAATAACTTTACGCATTATTCCAAAGTTTACTTATCTATACTGCCATGCATGCTTACGTTAGCATTTATCAGACTTAGTTTTATAAAAAATGTATTCGCGGAGCATTTATCGATCGCTCGCATAACCGTTGTTAGCAGTTATGTATAATCGAAAGGTCTCTATAATACGATACATATACACATATATATTTACGTATTTTTTCTTTAAACATTGCCGTGTAGAATGTTAACGGTCTTATAGACGTACATCCATCACCAAACACTTTCTCTATTCTTTCTTCGAACAGTATAACAAAATTGGCAAAATCGTATTCTTCAGTGAAGAATTCTTCGTTCAGAGAGAGAGAGAGAGAAAGAAAAAAAATATTAAGAAAACAAAATAAAGGATATAAGTAAAATATATATAAAAGAGAGAGAGAGAGAGAGAGAGAAAGGGAGAGAGAGAGAGAGAGAGAGAGAACGCATATAAAATGAATAACAATAAAATAAATAAAATAATAAAATATTAAGGAGAAAAAATAAAATAAAATATTTTTAATACTCATGTATAAGATAACACATAGAGCAATGCAATGTACAAAGATCCATGTTACAACATTTTGACACCAAATTATCTCTTTAAATTTATTCTTCGACAATTTCGTGGAAATTAGCATAATAAATTTACATCTGTCGACCGTAAAGCCGCGAAAACGAGGTTTGGACAATTGACACTGTCGTCATACGAAGATACAAAGATACGAACCTGAATAGTAAGCGTTATTGGTGCGCTACATTCCGTTTGACCGTAACCTTCGACCACCACACAGCCCAAAGCACACCTGGTAAATGTAAGCACATTCGCCGCCAGCGGCGCGGAACCCACGAGCATCAGTCTCAACCTGCCGCCCATCGATTCCTGAATCTTCCTGAATACGATCTTGTCCCATACGCTGTTTATCCTGACGATGCTCTTCTTGATCTCCGACTCTTTCGCCCGCATACCCATGTTAAAGATCATCCTCTTCAAGAACGAGCTGCGAAGCTCGGTGTGCACCTGCAGACACAAATCAAGAATAAGATAATGATAAAAAAAGAAGGCATGATGCAATAAAGAGCATGACGCACGCATTTTCCGTGCATATTATATTTTTAGATTATATTTTCTACCAGCTTTTATAGTAAACCTGTTATATGAGATGCGTCACAATCAGCTATATTAATCTCTCATATATTTTTCCCACTTACAAGCGATAATATTTTCTTCCGCGTCATCAAGACGTGCGTTATTTCATCTCGACAATTTTGGTCGCCATAAATTCTGGTTGCCATAAATTTTAATTGGATACTTTTGTTATTATTAGTGAGTTATTATAAAACGGAGAAGATGAAAATCTATTTGGGCAGCTGCGATTGACTTCGATGTCACATCTTGTCAATAGGCAAGCGATGATAAATTAATTTATCATTCGCGAATTCGGTAGCGGAAACGAAGAGGTTCAAGAATATCCAAATTTAAAATAACTAAATAGCTCCCATGAAATCAAAATAAAGAAATAAGTCATAAATAGGGTTAAGGAACAATAGCGAATACCCGCGCAATATATTCAGATCATGAAAATTGTACAATTCGCGAATGTCTTAACGGATAATTTGTAAAATTAAACATTCTAATATGAATAATGGTCACAAAAGACGCGAATCACAAAAAATAAATAATATAATAATAAACGCACGCGAATGTCTTAACAGAAAATTTGTGAAAAAAATTAAACTTTCTCAATAATGACATCCAAATTTATTCGCTTCGTTATTATGTTGATTTTTTACATAAAATTTATTTCAAATTACTTTGAGATTTGCATTTATTTTGTGTTAAAATATTAACATATAGTATTAATGTCACCATTTAACATATCATATTATGTTAAATTAACACAAAAATTTGTGTGAGACATGTGATATCTGTTAAATCTAACACAAATTTTTCAACTTTTCCTTGAAAAAATATCTACTTATTGTTAGATATGAAAAATAATATATCTAGAGTAAAGTCTTACACACAGAAAAAAAAAGAACATTTATTTTGTCTTGAACATTTTTATGAAGCAGAATAAATCAGTATACGATAATTATGGAAGACAGACAAGTCCTTAATCGGGGTATATATGTGCGTTATATGACTTATCTATTAAATTTTACTCATTGTCAACAAACTCGGCATCTATCAGCGGCGGTATCTACAGGTACATGTCTGTGTAGAAAAATGCGCGACCGCATCCCAGTTGGCTTTTTTCTTCGCGCCTACT